AAAACGGCGACATTACTTTTTCAACCATGCCCGGACGGAGAAGGCTCATCACGGTGACTGCAGAGCGTTTACCTTAATATCTCTTCTGGCACTCCATTGGGGACACCCGTGAGACAATGTCACGAAGACTGCAGGTGACTATCACTGGTAAGGCACGTTGATGAACGTTCACCTGACCGCAAACGGGACTCCTCTGTTCCGCTATGCCTTGGGCCCTGTCAGAGGTCCTGACAGCCGTAACAGCTAGTAGTATAGGCAGATAGTATTAGCGGTAAAAACAAGGGAGACCGGAATGGCCATTTCTGGCTTATTAGCCGTCGTCGGCCAGTCATACCAAGACCAAAGTGAGGCCCCACTCGAACCTTGAACGTGCGACCTTTTTAACAAGAGTCAAACGCCCTAACCATTGAGCCACGAACTCGTATGACTGCCTCCCATGCCTTTGCTGACAATATTATTGGTAAAACTACTGTCTTACCTGGTCTAAAAGTGGGTATTTTGGGCGTACTGTCCTTTTAAATGACTCTCTGCTTAAACAGACATGAAATATGAACGTAGAAAGGTCGCAGGGAAAGCGTACTTTCGGGTGATTCCAAAGATCGCCTTTCGCGTGATGACGATGATGAAGAGGAGGAACTCGAAGATGATGAGGAAGAAGACGAGGACGAGCTTGAAGACTTAGAACGAGCTGTCCAAAATATCACGTAAACGATAGCACATATAGTCTTTAAAGGGTAAGAACGTGCAAAATGATGTTAGAGAGTCAGTCAGAGTTCCCCTAACAATAGCGTTGTACTTTTTTTTAAAAATTGGGCAACATTAAGTGGCCTTTCGGACTACAGACAGTACGCCAACTGTTTGACCAAGCTTCTGGCTATGGCGGAGTACCAATATTCTGAACTGTAGGCAGTCCGTACATTTAATTAATACTTATGTGTTCCTATTTTAGAGCTTTGGTCATAACTACGATAAGTAAGGTTTCTATTTTACAACTTTTCAATCATATTTTTATTATGTGAGCCCCGCGATTTTGTAGAGTCGGCAGTTACAGGCGTGTCAGTTGAGTTTTTCTGTAAGCGTTGTTTCTATCTTCTCTGTGCACTGCGTCTCAGTTTAGATAGCCATGGAAGCACAGTTATGGTGAATTTGATGCCCTCCGTTCTTTATATAATAGGGTGGATAATATTTTATGGTTCTGTACGATGCATGTGGTATTATTGCAAATTGTGTGCAAACTCGTTCGCTGTGATGGCAATTGAACATAGAATGCCTGCAAAGCTGGTACGGAAGTCTAGGTAATTGCAATCAGACAAATCGTAATTCATACCTTGACATAGCATGTCGCGGATTCATCATCAGAGACATAGTCAAAGATCAGTAGCAGAAATGGGTTTCTGCCAACAGAATATGTGAGTTCCAGAAAACAGTTCAGAAGAAGAAGATCCGATCGCTGCGCAAAAGCCTTTCCTTCTGTCAGTATCCTTTTCGATTTCTTCGCGGACGATGAACGCATTCAACGATACATTGATCCACATACGTAAATTATTTTTAAAATAGGCGACAGATGTCACGGAGAGTTAACATGTCGCCAACTTCGGAGAAGCTATTGCATCAAACTGACACTGGACGAGTTGCGAAGACACACACATACACAACCAAGGCCATTAATTAGAGCAATCACTAAGCCGTCTTGTTTCGTCATGGAATAATAACCACTGGTTTACTATTTTATTGGGTAGCATGGAAGCAACGGGAGGGTATTTTGGAGGTCACATTGAAGCAACTATTCGTATATATGTTACCCCACGAAAATAATCCTTCCCTTTGATCTCAACATATTGAAGAACAGTATTTACCAAGAGGCCGTGCATATGGGTACATTCTGAACGTGCTACCTGTATTACATTTGATAACCAACAAACCATACATAAAAATGCCAAAAGAGCGCTTACAGAAGGATACTTTAGAGGCATTTCGTCTCGTGGAACGTCTCGAACGTCTCTTTGGCTTCCCTAAAGGGATAGAGAGGGATCGTTTGAGATGTTTGTTAATAATCAACCTTGAAGGAAGCTACTCTTCCCCGTTATCACAGAATTAACACGCAAAAGCATTGTCAGCTACTGACTTCCAATTCTGAGGTAGTTAGATACAAATATAAGCTTCCATCTTGTTAGATTAACAAAATCGTATGTTTGACACTATACTGAAAAAAGAATAGGGATGGCAAAACACAGTCCACATCGCTAGAGCAGCGTTTGAGGCCATCTGCCGTTAGACCAAAGAAGGACTTATAGAAGTAATTAAGTTGACATAGTCCCAAAAGTCGCAGCGTCAGCGACGCAAAGACTGAAATGTAGAGTAAATGTCTTATCGTTCTCCTCAGGTTTATGCAGGAAATCCATTTTCTTGGTTTACATCGACAGCCCCGATGCTAGCACCGGTCTAGCCGGACCTCAATGCCTTCTCCCGCACTCATATAACAACGGCATGTCCAAACGGCACCTTTTGTACACGAGAATAAACGCAGTGCCTTACTTGACCTCAGGACAATATATGAATGCTTTCACACATAATAATCGAAAAAAAATACTTTCTCAACAGTGTTCCGTACGGAGTAGGCTTATTGCGATCACCTACGCGTGACCTAGCTTATAGATGGTAAACCCTGCGAAGGACCTGTCCTAATTTCTCCGCCGACACTCCATTGGGGACACTGACAACGTAATTACACGGTGACCGCAGGGGGCTATCATTGGTAAGACTAGTTTGTCATCTGGACTAAAGTTGGGGTTTTTATACGGTGGAGGTATTGCGCACTAACCTTTAATTACTCTCTGTTAATAGCGATGGGAAATAGGAACATAGAAAAGTTTCAGGGAAAGCGTACTTTCACGTGATGACGATGATGAAGAGGAGGAACTCGAAGATGATGAAGAAGACGAAGATGAAGACGAGGACGAGCTTGAAGAGCGAGCTGCCAAAAATTTCGCGTAAACAATGATACACATATATAAGTTAAAGAGGAAGAACGTGCATAATGATGTTAGAGAGACAGTCAAAGTTTCCGTAAGAAAATGCCTATCGCTTAAGTTGGTGAATAGTGAACGGCGTTTCCGACAACAGCCAGTACGTCAACTGCCCCAACAAGATTCCGGTTACAGCGGAATGCCAATATTTTGAACTATAGGCAGCCCGTGTATTTTGACAATCATTGGTTCGTCGTATTTTAAAGATTTGATCATGACTTCAATAATCAAGTGTTCTCTAGTAAGACTTTTCAGCAATATTTTTAATGTGTGAGTTTTCCGATTTTTAGGGTCGACAGTTACGGGCATGTAAGTTGATTTGTCTGTTAAAGTTACCTTTATTTTCCCCATACCGTGTCTTAGATAACATTTGAATATTGTTATTCATTTAAGATGAATAGGATGCTTATCTTTCGGCACATAATACTGTGGAGAATTACACTATTTGATGAACGTCGAGAAGGGTTTGTGGTTCTGTACGGTGAGAAAAGTATCATTGCGAATTGTAAAAATGTCGTTCGGTGTAATGGCAGGTGAATATAGAATGCCTATGAAATTGCGATTAGACGACTCGTAATCCATATCCTTGCATAATATCTTTCCCTCTGTTACTATCAGGAAGCTTGAGGATAAGTTTATAAACCTTAACGAAATGTAGGACTGTGTCCACTTTTATCAGAATTGGTCACCTATTTATTATGCACAATGTCCCTCCTTCTTTGTCGCTAGTAGATTTCCAAGCAAATCTACAAAAAAGCCTGGATCTTGGAAAAACTTCGCATATTCATCCTTAAATGTTTGAAGGCGTTAGTGAACATATGACGACTCCCAGTACTTGGTGCCCATTGTGGTGGGCAAATTGATAGCCCGGAGCAGATAAGATCGCAGGTTTCACTCGTACATGCTTGAGCATAGTCTGGGTCTTTCTGCATCGATGTAGGAAAGTATACTATTACTGCGTCGGACTTTAAGGTGTGTCGAATTTAGACAATCGTCGAGCACATAGCAAAAACAATTTCATAAATGCATACGTCCGTTTAAGAAAACCCGGCATCGCGAGCAATTTAGCTGAAACCGGCTGCAGTTCTTTTGGAAAGGAAAAAAAACTATTGTTTATATTTGTCGAATCTGGTTCCCCAGTTTCCCAACCGCGGGGCTTATTGTTGCTTAAAGTTACTGGAATGGCAATATTTCCATACGAACTTATTAATTAAAAACATAACGTTTTGCTATAGGCTCGAGGATTGACCAAATGTTTTAATTATAAAGTCGGACGCGAGAACTGTTGATCGGACGCACTACCTAGGTTTTTAATTTAAACACTCACAAAAGTCGGCTTAGCACGGGGCACTGATATAGTCGGCTATTTGATAGCATAGAATCAGCGAAAGGAGATTCTGGAGTTTGGATTGAAGTAACTGCTCATATGTATGTAACGCCATGGATATAATAGTTTACTTTGATCTTAACATTTCGGACGAACAGTGCATAGGGGTGAATTCTGAACGTGCTACCTGCATTACATTTGGTAGCGAACAAACCATGCATTACAAAAATGTAAACAAGAGGGCTTACAAGAGGATGCTTTAGGGGCATGTCGTCTCGAACGTCTTGCCGGCTTCCCTATAGAAATGAAAAAGAATCCCTTAAGCTGTTTGTTAATAATCTATGTTGAAGAATACCCGTCTTCCGCCCTATCACATAGTAAATACGCAAAAGTATAGGAAACTACTGGCTTCCACTTGTGAGATAGCTAGATTAAGATATGAGCTTCCATGGTGTTAGATTAATAGAGTCGTATGTGTGATACTTACTGGAAAAAGGATAAGAATACATTAGTGTTTTATAATTCAAAACACAGACTCATATAAGCCAGCGTCTGAACTACAACATTTTTGGATAAAGTGACGACGATTAAAAACTCTCGTGGAAAGCAATCGTTTTGGACGTATTTTGCAGAAGAGGGGCCCATTTGATAGTAAACCTTACTTATTCGCGTAGTCATTTGTCTTCACTCCTGAAAGTGGCGTCAGAAACCGCAACATACCGACGATGCAGTATTCCCAGGACTCACTAGCTATACCACCACAAATGAAGTAAGCGTACCGTCTCTAGCAGACGGGATAACGTTCAGCGAATAAGCTCGGTGAGCGAATGTACCAGCGTTAGGGGGCCAGAAGACCGAGCAATAATCACGCCCATCTTCAGCACGCTCACAGGTCACGACCCACACGCCGGCATCAAGCAATTAGCACACAAGCGGACAAATACCCTCGATAAGGAGAAACCGTTAACTGTCATAGGTATGCCTCAGCATATTGACTGTATCCTATAAAAACTGCAAGGCTCTGTTTATCAATTACTCAGTTCTGCAGTTTTTTCTAATCCACAAAGGAATCCAAAACGGCAGGTGAAAACAGTACTTGTACCTGTGATCGCATCTGCTTCTCCTCAATTACTTCCTAGGACTCCTATTTTTCCCTGTATTATGATAACGATTTGTTTGCCGTCGGTTAAACAGAATGCCGTGATACGTAGTCAGCCTTTTAAGTACGGTTCCAACACGTAGAACACCGATTTTCAGAGGAGTTTCCGGATGGCTATTTTTCTGTCCAGAAGAAGTCTTCATTCTGAGTACTACCGCGGCAGAGTGTGGGGGCAGAAGAGATCGTTACATTATCTGATTGGCGGTGGGAACTATCTAAGTTTGCAGCGAAGGCATTGCAAAGGGTAAACAGGCGAATTACCCCACATACTCACAGGAGATCACCCATTTGCAATGAGGAGGAATAATGCTAACTAAGGAAACAACAGAATCGTTCGTCTACATACA